GTTCAGGCTGCATTGGGAAGGCACACAGGCTGCCATCTGCTCCCCGTGTGATGGTCAGGCAGGTGGGAGGACCAGGCTTTGCCACTGACCACCCCCCCAATCTGGAGATGATGCACAGGTACTCTGTTTCTCATTGACCCTTCACCCATTAAGTTTAGCACCCATCAGTGGATCTGGCCTGTGACAATCATGCTGTGCTTTAACTGCAATTTCTACTACCTCCCTTTCCTCTGGAATCCTTCTGTAGGAAAAAATTCTCCCTTTTCCTCCTCTATGTATTTATATCAAACCCAGTGGCTTGACTCATCAGAAACTTATGCCTGCACAGCTCTGGAGGCCAGAAGTTGAAATTCAGGGCTGATGGAGTTTGTTCCCTCCTGGAGACTGAGGGATCTTCTGGCCTGAGCCTCCTCTGGCCTCTCTGGTGGTGAATGCAGCCACTCTGATTTCTGTCCTCACTGTCCCTCATCTGTCCCCCACCTGTCCCCGTGCAGAGTAGTAGCCACCCCTTCTGGAGACCTCCAGTGCTTGGGTTTGAGAGTATGAGAGTCCAGGGTAGGCTCACTTTTAGACCTTTCATAAATTACAACCTTTTTCTAAATAGGGTCACACCTAGAAGTAAGGACTTAGACCTTGAGGGACCACATTAAACCTACTGGAGTAACAAATGTAACTAGTTTTATTCTGTTCACAAAATTCTGACTTTACGAAGTTGGGTGGGCATATTGTTTAGTTTCCCCTTACATGTCAAACCCTAGGAATGATAAAAGATATATTTATCTTAAATACTGTGCTGTGGGTTGGATTTGGTTCCCCATATGTTGGATCCTCACCCTCTGCTGTTTGGAGGTGGGACCTTTTAGGAGATGATTAAGTCTATGCAAGTAGAGAGGGTGGGACCTGAGCTGTTAGTACTGTGTCCTTTTAAGAGAGAAAGACAACAGTGAGTGTGCATGTGGAGGAAAGCCATCTGAGGACATGGGGAGAAGGATGTCTCGGAAAGCCTCAGAGAGGGCTGGGGAGGGACCAGCCCTTGACATCTTGATCTAAAACTCACTGCCTCCAGTTCTGGGAAGAAACAAATGTTTGCCAGGCTCTCCAGCCCACAGCTAAAGGAAGAGAAAGCTCTCCCTGAGATGCATGGGCAGAGAGGGGATCTGTGGCCTAGGCTCAGGCAGAGGTGTCCAGAGTTCAGGTAAAAGATGCACAGTCCAGTAGCATGTCCAGCTGCTCCTCCCGAGTGGTCACAGCAGGACTGAGTACAGCCAGGACTCTTAGAAGTGTCCCACGTGGGACTCATTGGAGAGCAGTGGGAGCAGGAAGTAGGAGACATGGTGAGACTGGCTGTAGCTAGTTGCTGTTGCAGGATGACCTGCCAGCCCACATCCAGGAGCAGAGTGACCTGCTTAATTCCTTGTCTTTTGTAGGCAGTTAAGAAATAGAGGAGTCAGCATATCTTTGGAATTATAAAATTAGCAACTAGATCAAATAAAAATAGAAATGATAAGGGCTCGGGATTTAGCACAGTGGCGCTACTGCCTGCCTCACAAACACAAGGTCCCAAGATCAATCCCTGGTACCAAAAAACAAAACAAAACAAAAAAGCTAAAAGTGTAGCTAAGTTAGCTAGAGATTTAGTGCAGTGGCCCTGTGCCTGTCTCACAAGGACAAGGTCCTGAGTTTGATACCTGGTACCAAAAAGAAGTTTAGCTAATTCAGAAGTGGGGTTGGCAAGGAAGACTTAACTTTATATTTGTTTATTATTTGATTTTTTATTATAATTATCAGAATTTAAATCATTCACAAATTTTGCTAATGTTTTTTACTAGCAACAAAATTTTTGTGGCATATCCTCATAAAGTGGAGAACATTACCCTAAGTTGTCCATTTCAGAAACTGGAGACTTCCCTGCAAGTCTTCTTCTGAAATAGTGAAACAGCTTAGAGACAACAGCCTATAGCTGTATATCACAGTATCGGCTGTGTTTAGAGCCCCAGAATGGTCTGGGAGTGGATGCTTTAGACTCAGCTTGCCCAGAAGATAATACGAGAAGATGCATTTTCTAGTAGGTCACTAAAATGAGGATTATAATTTATGGAAATGATAGCACTCCAACTTCTGGTTGACAGGAGGTGGTGACTTCCAGGGATGCTCCATTTCTCTCTGCCATTTCTGCTGCTAGCTGCAGTCAGTGTTACCAGCCCTGGCTGCTGGACACTTTTGGCACCAGTGGCTTTTGGTGTCATGAGCTCTTAGTCTCCCAGCTCAGCATGCTGTAGCTGAGATAGAAATCATGAATAGGCAAGAATATGCTATCTGCAAGATGCTTTATTAGGACTTAGGCTGTACATAAGGGGAACACTGCATATACTGACCCATTAAGGGAACAGGGAGGTTGTTCATGTAGAATAAAAAGGGTAGGCTCATGTGGGCTCAGTGTCAGATTTTCTGTGTAGTCATAAGTATGGGAGCAACTCTTTGTGGACCTGATTGAGGATGGCTGCAGAGGGGATGTGGGGCAGGGTCCCCTGGAATGGAACCATGATTGCAGCTTGCTGTAGCCAAAGTGCTTTTCTCCCAGAGTGGCTCTGGGGAATCTGATCTTTCTGTGGCTGGCCATGAGACACTTGGGGCAGCTTCAAAGGAAAGAAAGAATAAAAAAATACTCCTTAGGGAACATCAGACCCTTCTTTCTGTCACATATGCATCCGTTGGTGCTACTATGAATGTAGGAGTGCAGATGTCTCATTGAGACCCTACTTTCAGTTCTTTTGGCTGACCCAGTAGTAGACTTGCTGGGTTGTGTGGTAATTCTGTATTTAATCTTCGAGGAAATTGCATGTTTTCCAGAGTAAGTACAGTGTTTCACATCCCTACCAACAGTACATAGTTCTGGTTTTTCCACATCTCACCAATGCTTTGTTGCTCTTTGGATAGTACCCTTCCTAGTGGGTGGAAATGGTATCTTACTATGATTTTGATTTTCATTTCCCTAAGAATTAGTGATCCTGTGTGTGATCCAGTGATTTCACATGCTTGTTGGCCATCAAATTGTTGGAGATTTGTTGTTATTGAAGATTCGATTGTTTTTTTAAGCCAGGCTGGGTGATCTACATCTTGCTCACGAATCCAAAGGCCATAAAAAAGAAATATGTGCTGCAAAATGTAGATGATCGATAGTTTACATGCATGCAAAATGGAAAGATTTATGCAACCTTGAATACTGTTGTATTAACATACATGTTAAATTTTAATTCTGAAAGCACTTTTCTTCCCAACTTTTTCATTTTTGACAGTGTAAATCTACCTCCAAAAAATGTGGGTTTTTTTCCCTCCTTTTCAAAATACTTTGTAAAAGTAGCAACTAAGTTAAGTCTCTCCAGAGTGATCATTTTCCTTGATCAGTACCTGTGGGACTCCCCCAGGGCCTAATCCCAAACCCTTTGAGCCCATTTGAACCTGTCAGCCGAGGCAGTGTCCAGTAGCACCAGGGAAGTGGATGCACTGAGACCACTGGTGTGGAAATGGCAGCCAGTAGGTAGGCCAGGGGCCAGATGCACAGAAGACGTGGTCACTGCAGGCAGACTTGCCTAGTCTCAGCCCGGAAGTTGATTCCTCCCACTCCGAGCAGGTTAAATGAGGTCATTCGTCATTCACCTGGCACACCTTCGGCCTCTTGCTGCAGCACAGCAGAGTGCGAGGGGTCCCTCCCACTACCCGTAAGCCTAGCTGGCTGCCTCTCCTCCTTCCTGTTTGCTTTCTGTGAAATAGTTTCTGGAAAACCATGTATTTCCACGTTTACTTTGATAATGTTTGTGATTTTAGCTATTAAGCTCTCAGATTTAAAGTCTCCATTCTGTATTCGAATCAATGATAACAAATTAGTGTAAGATTAAATATAAGATTCAAGGATCACTCATGTTGCCGTGAGTTGGTGTTATTTAGTGCCTGCCACAGAGCATGGTTGTTTGTGTTCAAATGCACTTCTGCTTGTCTTGATGATTTACAGCTGTTGCCTGTGCTGTTTAAGTCTGTTTTGACAGTGATAAATAGATGCATGGGGCATACTCAGCTGTTTTTATTAAAAGTGAATACTGGTGAGTGAAAGGGGGCTTGAACACAATTTTCTTGTCAAAGAATGATGATGAGGAAATGAGCAATTTTAGTTCCCTGGTTTTGAACATCATTCCCATGTGCCCGCAACAGGCAGCCTTCTCTATAGCACGTCCTTCCTCCAATTTTAGACTGAAAACAGACTGAATATTCAGTGTATAAAAAAAAAAACAACTTTATATACGTCTTTAGCTCTGAGGGTGTGGTTTGCTGTTCATAGTTTTTAATACTAAAGGGAAGAAGAAACATTTAATGAAAAGTTGTTCAGATTGTTTAGTTCTTGCGTTATTTTATTTTTGTATTGTATAAAAAAATAAAAAATATTAGAAAACCTTAAATGTATTTAAGGAGTAAAAAATTATATTTGCTTTATCAGGTTCCATTAAATGGCTTCAGTGCAGCAATCACCTCAGCTACATTTTTTTTAAATGTAGAGGATAAACAGAAATGCCAAGTGTTTACTTGACACCGAGGGCAAGTTACTAGTCTTAGGTATCATTTTCCACAGGCTTTTTCCCAGAGCTTTTATACAAGTATTTACGATCTCCATGTTTTAGTAAAGCATTGTGATACCTGAGGCTGCCTTGGCTGAGCACATGAAATCTGTGGAAGATTCCGCAGCATGTCTGGCACTATCTGATGTCCCACTCAAAAGAACCAAAATATAGCTTAGATTTCTCAAAAGGAAATGTGTATTAGACATTACCCTTGTAATTTGAAGTTCATGATCTATATCTGAAAACAGTTAACTAGTATTTTCAGAATAAAACATGATTTTTATTTTGGTCTCCTGAATTACAAACCAAGTATTCATTATATTCTGTTACAAAAGAAGACAAATGAAGATCTCATTGAAAAAATGTTTTAATAAAACATCTTTTTTTCAGTATCTTAAATAGTGAGGATGAAGAAATATACAGTAATGAAGAGTGTGAATATGCATCCAAAAAAAGGAAAAAGGACCATTTCAGAAATAACACAAATGCCCAAAGTAAGATAATTTTTATTCGTACTTTTTAATATGTTGGTATGCTGAATTGTTTTGGCAGTGCTATCTTATGAAATTAAAGGTGATGCAGGTATATAAATAAGCACAGTGTCCAGTGTTACCCACTAATTTAGTAACCAGATTCTTGCACCTCTGCCATTTGAGTTGGTAAGATGTCCACAAAATGAAGATGGCAAAACCCACAACACAGCCTCTACAGTGAGTAACCAAAGGGCAGTCATGAACTTGGTTCATTCCAGAGCAGCCAGGCCACCTGAGAGGTGTGAGGACCTAGGCACATTGTCATTGAGGACTCAGGGCAAGAACTGAGTGTGGAGGGGCTGGGATTCAGGATGTTGGATGCTAAGGGTATGGGGATGGCAAGGTAGTAACTTCCCTGCAAGGCTGACATAACAGATGGCATAACACCTGTCAAGGTATAAAGAAGTAGTCAGAGTCAAGTAGAAAAGCTTTAGGATCAGAATTATATGAAAGTATGTGTCTATGAAATGTAATAGAGGGCAATACAAAAATAGAACTTCACTAGGGTATACAAGGTTATGTACATAATGATTTATATGCTTGCTTGTGTTTTTATATGACTGCAGTCATTAATAACACTAATTTCTTCTGCATTGTAAGACATGGTACTAATCATTTTTCATGTGAAGGGATCTCAGTACATCACTGATATTAGGAAACAAAGCTTTTCTCTTTATATTTGCCCAAGTATAAGCAATCTCTTAATGATCCAGTAAGTCAGATAATTTTGTTAGCATGTCCAGTTACTGAAATTCCTTTAAAATCTATTTTCAAATGATTTGTCAGATTTTAATTTTTATTCTAGGTTTTTATCGTGAAAAATGGATCTATGTCCATAAAGAAAGCACAAGAGAAGTAAGTGTTCTTTATAAAGAAGACTGTGTCCTATATTGTTTCTGTTGAGAGTGAAGTATCACATCAAATAATCTCTTGCAGTATTAAATCTGTGATTCACATTCTGATAATACGTACACATGGGGAGCTTTAGAAATGTGGTTCACAATTGTGAGTGTGCATGTGTCTGCGTATCTGTGTGAATGTGGTATATTTGTGTGATGTTGCATATGTGTGATATGTGGAGGAATATGTGCATATTGGTGTTGTAATTGGCATGTGCTATATATACAAGGTGTATGCATTTGTGGTATGTGATACATACAACGTGTGTGATGTTTGGCATGTATATCTGTGGCATGCATATGAGATGTGCATACGTGTGGCATGTGCATGCATCTGTAGTATGTGTACGGTGTGTGTGGCACATGCTTACGGGGGCATGTGCATGTGTGGTATGTGGGGGGTGTACTGTATGATTCCTGTGCATCTCTCTAAATCACAGTGCATTCCTGTGAGGTGTGATGCGCTGTCTTATCAGGGTGAGCTGCTGTGGCTGGGGGATGTGCTCAGCTCTCATGTTATGAGGGTGAGAATGTCTGTGAGTCCCTCACTCCATATGGAGAGTGCCTTGTGAAACTCTTATCAAGAATGTGCTTGCAGAGCAGTGTGAACTCTTTCCTGTCTTCTCTTGCCAAGTTGGCTAAAGTTTTCTATGAGCCCTTAAGCAAGTGATGGCAAACCTTTCAGAGACTAAGTGCCCAAACTGTGACCCAGAACTCACCTGTTTGTCACAGAGTGTTAGCATACATACCCTGTGTGCACTGTTATCCGATGCTCGGGTGCTGGGTGACTTGGCTCACATGCCGACGGAGAGGGCTCTGTGTGCCCACTGGCACACGTGCCATCGGTTCGCCACCACTGCTTTAAACCAGTAAGCTCTACTCTGTCTTCCTGTTTCTCTGCTTACTTTTGAGGGAAGCCTGGTTCTTTTTGCAGCCTTTGAAACTCTGCATTTGCTTTATTTCATAGCCTTGTGGAAAATAATTCAGAGAACAATTGTTTATTATAAAGTTAAGATAAGTTAAATGTTCCACAATGTTAATAATAGATGTCTTAAACTAGCCCAACTTGCTAGAAACATAAAGATTTGATTATGAGAAAGAAAAATTACTCAGTCTATGTGATAATGGTGTTATTAAATGGGTACAGCACAATCCTAATCCTTAGGATATACTCTGATTTGCCACTTGAAGAGTGACAGATCTAGTCTGGTTTATTATCAGATTACAGCTGGCATAGCGACAAAATCTGCTGTGGTCTTCCGGGATGTCCCACGGATCCCTGGAACAGGGATCTGACAGGCTTAGAAAGAACCTAGGCTAGTGCTGGGAGCTGGCAGGCCTGTGTCCTGTCACACAGCTTCCTCCTTGTACCTGATGTAAGCCCATTCAGCTGCAAAGACAGGCACACTCTTGGTCTGCTCTGTGAACCAGGTTTGGTTCCTGTTGTGAGATGGTAGCTACCTTGAAGAGGTTTCTGTACCACCGTTAAAAGTCTTTTTCCCTTTAGAAAAGAATTAAATCTGTCAGTTAGAATGCTAGGATAACTAAAACCTAGTTATCCTTTGTTTCCCCACAACCAGGAGAGCATTCTGCACATACATAGTGCATACTTGGTACACATGTGTTGGAGTCTTCATGTTGGCCCATACTTCGTGCATACACTGGGACTCTTCCTGGGATGGGCACAGCCAGGCTTGACTTCATATTTCCCCCACAGTTAAGGCCAGCACATATGTTGTTGCTCCAGCTACCCCAGACCAGTCGTACCCATCTGGCTATAAATACAGGAATCCATCTACCAACTTGTGGTTTATTGTCCTCCAGCATATCAGTCCCTCAGGACCATATGAAAGATTTGTTTATAGACTTTGAGTGTTTCACATACAGAGATGGAGTTTCAGACAGCTTCAGAGGCTAAGGTGCAAATCTGTACAAACTGATACAGAATAAAGTGTATGCCTTTACAGAAGACTTCCAAGGTGGAATAATAGTACTGTTTACAGGACTGAAAGTGACTTATACTTCCTGTTTGATTCTTGGAGCTGGGATCTCCTGACCAGCTTTTGGCTTTTTGAGTACTCAGCCTCATGCTCCCAGCCTAGGAATGACCCCATTGTCAGGTCTAGCCACCTACCCTCAGCACCCACTTGCTGTTGGAGGTCCCTTCCATGGCCAGGTCCTCCTAGGTCAGCTCACACGCTGGTCAGTATAAGACTTTCTGCTCGAGTGGCATAACCAGCATCCATAGCCTTATTCCAGCACAAGAACCCAGCAAGGTATAAGTGCTTCTTACCAAGTCATATTATGTAAAGGTACAGATTTCCAATGATGAATGTTATTTTACTATATACCTAAAATGTACCAATAAAATTAATTAAAAACTTTAAAAAGTGTTCCTCTTTATGATTACATAAGTAGTGCTGCATAGAATGTCAGTTAATGTCATGGATGGTGTCTGGATTTTGTAAAATGGCTTGATTTTACTCTGTGATATGATTTTACTCTATTCTCATGTAAATCTGGAACACATCTTAAAGTGAAGACAAACCTCTTTTGCCAAAACTTTAAAAACTGTTCATACAGCCTGATTAACATTAACTGTTGCCTTGCTTTGCTGGTTGTGGTTGCCTAAATTTAACTCCTCTCTGCTGCTTCCCAGAGGCATGGCTATTGTACCTTGGGAGAAGCCTTTAACCGGCTGGACTTTTCAAGTGCGATTCAGGATATCCGAAGATTCACTTATGTGGTCAAAGTAAGTGTTTTGTTTCAGAAACTACTTCGATGACACTTTGAATAACTGTTTTGAAGATTGCAGATGTGAAATAATTCAAGATGCTTTGGGCACCTGCAGAAAGATCTGCCTGTTTGTTATGTAGGAAGAAAAAAGGAGCGAACTCAGTAGAAAATAGGGATTTGGGTTTCCTGCCATCAGTACCCCAGACTGGGGGCCTCTGGCAGGGCAACACTCTCTGCCCTAAGCTTTGTGAATGCTCATAGTGCTGTGCTGCTCCCCTTGGGCCTTCCTGGGACCCACCTGGCCTCAGGAAGACCCCAAGTCTGTCTGTGACCTTGCATGCATTTGCCACTTTATGATTTCCACAAAGAATGAGCTTCATTTCATGGAAGAGGTAATAGAAAAAAGGAATTTTATGCAAACACAACTCCACAAAACCTTGTACTAATGATGTATCTTTACATAAAAATTTTATTTTGGGCTGCAGGGTCGCCTGTGGGATTGTCCATGTGACATGAAATAGTGCAGGAGAAAGCCTGGAACAGGGAGGCCTGGACCCCTCTTGGACCCCACCCCCTGCAGACTCCTGCAAAATGGAGGCCTAGGGAATTCCACCTCACCCAAAAATAAGTATTAAGAAGGAGGAAACTGTGAAAGCATGAATATCTCTGAAGAAAATACGGAAAGAACAGTGAAAGCAGGCAGTTAGTGCAGAACACCAGAAAAAAGTTTCCATGAAACAGGATGGAAATTAGGACCACATTTCACTATGAAGGAAAAGCATAGGACCTCAGAGTAGCAGTCAGTGAAAGTAGGCTTCAGGACAAACACAGGGAGAGATGTCAGTAAAGCAGGAGATAATGGGACCTGGGTGCCAAGGAAACTGGGAGACAAGGATGGAAGACACGAGAACCAACAGCAAGGCTGGGTATCTGAGTGAGAGTCGGATGAGGTGACACATCCACACTCAGGTCTTCAGAGAGCAGCATGGTACTGGAATTGGACGGAAGGGCTACACTGCCCAGAACAGTCCTGAGCAGGCCATGTTCCTAAAGAGTTACTGGATTCTGAAGGAGAAGTGAGGACCTGCTCATCAGGGAAGCAAACCCAGAGTCTCCATGGGAGAAGGAATCAACCCTTAGGTTTCTCCACATGTTAGAGGCCTCCCTGGACCTTCCAGGGAGAAAAGGCAGCCTGTGAATTTTCTGTCCATATGGTCTTTATTTTGAGACTGCACTCAAACCGTGTTAAACACATAAGAATTCAGGGAATATTATTCTCATGAACATTAAAAAAACCTTATCACATTATTTATGGAGGACAATGAGGATTTGATATGTGGATACAATGTATAATGATCAAATAGAGTGGAGGGGTTGAAGGGAGGGCAGGGGAATGGGAAAAAAAAATCAAGATGGATTATGTAAAGGTGCAAATTTCCAATGACGAATGTCATTGTATTGTATATCTTAAATGTAACAGTGAAATTAATTAGTTTTTTAAAATGATTAGATCAGGGTAATTAGCCTGTCTATCCCTCAAATATTCATTATTTCCGGGCCAGGGATTTAGCTCAGTGGTTCCACTGCCTGCTTTGCAAGCTCAGGGTACTAAGTTCGATCCCTGGTACCAAACAAAAAATTCTTTTTCATCATTTATTTTCATTGAACCCATTTAAACTCCAGTCTTGTAGCTATTTTGAGATGTACAATACTTTAACTATAGTCACCCTGATTGTATTGTGTTGCGTTGTGTTATCTTCCTTCTGTGCCTCATTTGCTCAGAGTTTTATCACAAAGAGATGTTGAATTTCATTAGATGCTCTTGCTGTATCTGTTGAAATGATCTTACAGTTTTTGTGCTTCATTGTGTTCATGGGATATATGTTGTTTGTGATTGTATTTCTTGACCCATCCTTGTATTTCCTGATCTTGATTGGAGCAAGTAGTTTCTTGATGTGCTGTTGGTTTCAGTTTGCTAGTGTTTAATGAAGGGTTTTACATCAATATTCATTAGCCTAGTGTTTTGTTGTTATAGCCTAGTCTTGTTTTGGTATCAAGAGAATGCAGCCCTCATAGAATGTATTTGGGAGAATTCTTTCTCCTTTTGAGAAGAATCTGAAGAGCAATGATGTTACTTCTTAAAATGTTTGGTAGAATTCAGCAATGAAACCATTTAGTCCTAGCTTGTCTTTGACGGAAGACTATTTCTTTTTTATTTTTTCCTTTTTATTGAGTTTATTTGTACAATCTAGGTCTACAATACAGTTACATTCATTACTGGGATCCTGTACCTTCACATGACAGGTCTTGGTAAGACTATTTCTGATTGAATTTGTCTGTTCAGAGTTTCTGTTTCCTTAGGTTCAGTCTTGATAGCTATATGGGTCCAGGGATGTTTCCTTAGGTGGTTCAGTTGTTGGAAGACAGTTCATCTCTAATGACCTCATCTCTGTAGTCAAGTTTATATTGTCTCCTTTTTCAGCCCATTCCTTGGCAGTTATGAGCATTTTTGAGGAAATTAAATTCAGCCAATCAAGAGATGGCTGGGGAAGCAATGGAAATGGACACCAGTGCTGGCCAGTGCTTCAGCTGTCCACTAAGATGAGCACATATCGGGACCAGGGCACTACCTACATGTGAGGTCTTGGTAAGACTATTTCTGATTGAATTTGTCTGTTCAGTCTTTCTGTTTCCTTAGGTTCAGTCTTGATAGCTATATGGGTCCAGGGATGTTTCCTTAGGTGGTTCAGTTGTTGGAAGACAGTTCATCTCTAATGACCTCATCTCTGTAGTCAAGTTTATATTGTCTCCTTTTTCAGCCCATTCCTTGGCAGTTATGAGCATTTTTGAGGAAATTAAATTCAGCCAATCAAGAGATGGCTGGGGAAGCAATGGAAATGGACACCAGTGCTGGCCAGTGCTTCAGCTGTCCACTAAGATGAGCACATATCGGGACCAGGGCACTGAGACAAAATGGGAATATTGTGGCCCTTGGCCATGAGGTGGGGGCACAGCAGTACCACTGGGGAGGGAGACAGAAGAGGTGGCTGGAAGGTTCTCATTGTTGCCTGTGATTGCCAAGAGAATGAGGTTCACAAGAGTCAAGCTGTATTGGGGAAGAGAGACGGAAAGGGAATGAGAGGATGGCAGTTTACTGAGAAGGGAGCCGTAAACTGAAATGACTCACTGAGAGTCACTGTCTGAGGCTCAGAAGGGTGAAAGAGCCACACAGAGTTGTTAGAACAACAGAACCTTTAAGACGAAACAGTACAAACTGCTAGGTTTTAAAAGAATTGCAGAGAGAGAATGAGGACTTCTTTTTAAATTACAAAAACCAAGTCATACAATTGAGAACCTGTGTTGTATCGATAAATGTAAAAAATCTCCAAACTAGAGCAGCAGCAGAGCCCAACTCCACGTTGTGTGTGAGGAGTACCTAGAAAGGCAGAGATTCAGAGGTAGAAGTGAAGGGATGGGGGAGGCATGCTGGTCCGACACGTAAAAATGCCTTGAAATAGAAAGGAAAACACAGCTGCTTTGCGATGTCAGGAGGCAGTCAGCAGACAGTGGGCATAGCATGGTATGAGAGGCAGGGCAGAAGTCAGCGTGGGCACCCTCATTCCCCTCACAGAGATCCGTGTGCGTGGATTCTGTCACCATGTTGTACTGCTGGCCCCAAGGGCCCTGTGGGGCATTTGCACACCCTGGCCACCGGGTGGTTAAAAGGGTTGGGTTGGGGGTTGCTTTGCCATTTTCTCTTTGGTGTCCAGGTGGAAGGCACTTTGTACCCTTCGCGAGTTAGTCTGGTCATTCAGTGATGCTGGAATATGTGAATTTGTTTCATAGTTAACTAGTCATTTCATTGAGCCACCTCTCCAGGATTGGCAGGATGGGGCTGAGTGCTGCTGTGCACAGAGGCTGAGCACTACCTCTCAGGCTTGTAGCAGGGACCTGGAGTGGGGCTGGAAAGCTGGAGGAGCAGCTCCCACAGTGACTACGGCTTTGGTGCCTGTAGCTGGATGCAGGCTGCTGCAGAAACCTGTACTGCACCATGTCACCATAGTATGTCTCTCCACACAGAATGAACATCTACGTCGCTTAGTTTCTTTTTTCTCTTTCCTTTAAGCTACTGCAGCTAATTGCAAAATCCCAGTTAACTTCATTGAGTGGTGTGGCACAGAAGAATTACTTCAACGTTTTGGATAAAATTGTTCAAAAGGGTAAGATGATCACTGACAGTTTTAATAATCCAAATCTTAATTAGAAATTTGGTATAGGCCGGGGATTTAGCTCAGTGGTGTCCACACTTGCATTGCAGGCACAAGGTCCTGAGTTTGATTCCCAGTACCAAAAAAGAAAGAAGGAAAGAAAAAATTTGGTGCAAAGAAAGGAAATTTTTTATCTTTCCCTGGTATATAATGGAGCCAAAAATAATAATGCAAATACTGTGACTACATCAAACAGTCAAACAGGACAGCAGCTCATTCCTTTAGCTCCAAAAGCTCAGTGTGCTGCTCTTGTTTTAAAGTTGCTTTTCATACACGTGGATATACTATGAAAAATCATGAATTCCAGAACTCTATAAAGCCACCTTCTCTTTTTCATGGTTAATTAATCACTGTTTGTGTAACTCCCTGGTTCCATAATTGACAGGACTGTGGCTCGTTGATTTAGGCATCAAATAAACCAGTATTTTAAGGAAATGTAATGACTTTGCTTTGGTTTGTAGTAGCTATAAGGAAGGGAACTTTACATTTTACACCATTAGTTTATGTGCACTTTTGGAATTTGTAACTATATGTGCAAGCCTTTTTAAAAACTTTCTGTGAAAAATACAAAAGAAAGTAGATGCTAATGATTTTAAAGGCAGAGTTGTAGACCCAACTGAAAATTTACCATCAGATGAAATGTTAAGGTTTTCAAAAATGTTAGTATGCCTGTGATACCTAAAAAATGTTTCCACTTTGGGTTGTAGTGAAATTAAGTCCTAGTGGTTTTTTGTAGTAAATTTTAATATTTACCATTTTAAGTGTACAGTTCAGAATTGCACTGGGCAGCCATCGCCTCCGTCCACCTCCAGATCATCTTCATTGCCCCCAGCTGAAACTGTACCGTGGGGCAGTGATCCACCACTACTCCCACCCTCACACTGACACCCACCACTTGATTTTCTGTCTCTGTGATTTTGACTAATCTAGGTACTTCATGTAAGTGAAATTCTACTACGTTTGTATTTTGTGACTGGCTATTTCACTTGGCTCAGGCTGTCTTCAGGGTTCATCCATATGTAACATATATCAGAATTTCCTTCTTATTTATGTATTTTTAAATTTTTATTTATTTTTTGGGGTGGACAAAGTCTCACTTTGTAGTTCAGGCTGGCTTTGAACTCACTATGTAGCCCAGGCAGGCCTTGTACTTGTAATCCTGCTGTCTTGGCCTTCCAAGTGCTGGAACTACAACTGTGCTACACCACACTTGGCTTCCTCTCGTTTTAAAGCTGAGCAGTATTGCATTGTATGGATGGATCACACATTTTTTATTTGTTCATCTATAGTGGACACGTGGTTTGAGATGCTAGATTATTTTCAGAATGGTGTTTCACTGTGCCAACACACAGCTTTTTGTTCATTCTAGTTCTTGATGACCACCAGAATCCACGCCTGATCAAAGATCTTCTGCAAGACCTGAGCTCTACCCTTTGTATCCTTATCAGAGGGGTAGGGAAGTCGGTGCTAGTAGGGAACATCAATATTTGGATTTGCCGCTTGGAAACTGTTCTTGGCTGGCAGCAACAGCTACAGAATCTTCAGATGACTAAGGTAAAAATTTCGTTTTATAGGGCCGGGGATTTAACTCAGCGGCACCGTGCCTGCCTTGCAAGTACAAGGTCCTGAGTTCAATCCCTGGTACCACAAGAAAAATTCTTTCCACAAATGTATTTTTATTATTAATTGACACAATAATTTTATATATTTGTAGGGCCCAGTGTGACATTTTAGTACATATATGCAATTTGTAATCATCATGTTAGAGTAATTGGCATATATCTGTTCAGACATAATCATTTCTTTGTATTGGGAAAATTCAAATCCTCTCTACTGTTTGTTTTGAAGTATTCAATTAATTGTTGTCAACTGTAGTTACCCTACTCTGCTATAGACTTACAAATTATTCCTCCTATCCACCTGTATGCCCATATTATTAATCATCCTCTATCCATCCTTCAACCTTTCTAGAATCTGGGACCCATGATTCTATTTTTTCTTTTTTTCTTTTTTTTAATTTGGATGTTTACAATTTTTTAAAACTTTTATTCGTACATTTTAGGTATACAATATAATAACATTCATCTTTGGAGATTTGTACCTTCACATAATATATCTTGATTCTTATTTTTCCCCATATTCTGCACTCCCTTCAACCCCTCTGCCCTTCCCTATTTACAAAGTCTTTGTTTCCATTTTTTCACTTTCTCATGTTGATTCCATTCCCCACTTTTCTTTTCCTACTCCTCCCACTTCTCCTTCCCCTTTTCTATTCTTCTTTGAGCCCAGTTGTTTAGCTTCCACATATATGAAAGCATAGGATGTCTTTCCGTGTGCACTCTCACTTGCCATGTCTTCCAGTTCCATCCATGTGCTGTAAAGGACGGGATTCACTCTTTCTGTGACAGTATTCTATTCCATTGTATACAGTATCACACTTTCTTTACTGGTAGATTCATCCGCCAGTGCATATCTAGTTTGACTCTTTCAATCCTGGCTATTGTTAATAGTGCTGCAGTAAACCTGCAATTACAAATATATTTTCAGCATGCTGATTTCAGTTCCTTCAGATATATACCCAATAGAGGAATTGCTAGATGGCTATTGCTGAGGTTTTTTTGTTTTGTTGTTTGGTGTTTTAAGGCACTGCCATACTATTTTCCATATGGTTATACTAATTTACATTTCCCACTGTGTATGGCAGCTCCTTTTTCTCTGTATCTTCACCAGTGTTTGTTATTTTTTGTCTTTTGAATAATAGGTATTCCACCTGGGTTGAGATAGCTCATTGTATCCTCCTCCCCATTGATTACTGAGGTTTAGCCTTTTTTTTTTTTTTTCTTGGTATACTTATTGGTCTGTTTTCTTATTATTATTTGGATTATTTGGAGTTTCTTTGCTGAAATCCCAAAGAACTGAGTTCTTTATATTTTGGAAGTTCCTTGTCAGATGAATAGTTTGAAAATATTTTATCCCATTCTGTAGCCTTTGACTTCACAGAAGTGACTGTTGATTGTTTCTTTTGTTCTGAGGAATCTTTGTAGATTGATATAAACTGATTGTTTTATTGCCTGTGCTTTTGAGGTCATATCCAGAAAACCTTATCTTGTACCATTATCTTGAAGTGTTCCCTATCTTTCTCTCTCTTTTTTTTTTTTTAGACAGGGTCTCACTGTGTAGTCCAAGCTGGCCTTGAACTTGCTGTGTAGCTGAGGGTGGCTTCGAACCTTTGGCAAGCCTCCTGCCTCAGCTGAGTACTGGGATTATAGGCATGCACCACCACTCCTGGCTCCTCTGTCTTCTTATAGTAGCTTCATATTTCAGGTCCTACACGTAGGTCTTAACCATTTTGAGTTGACCTTTGTATATGATGAGAGATAGGGATCTAATTTTAGTATTATGCATATGACTATCCAGTTTTCCTAGCACCACTATTAAAGAGTCTTTCCTTTATCTAATGTATGTTTTTGCTGCTTTTGTCAAGGGTTGGTTGTAAATATGTGGATTTCTTTCTGGGTTGTCTGTTCTCTTCCATTGGTGTATGTGTGCCTGTTTATATGCCATTAGCATCCTATTTAGTTACTCTCACCCTCCACTGTGTGTCAGGTATTTGTGACACCTCTGGCTTTGTACTCCTGTTCAGGATCACTATGGCTACCCAGGACTCTTGTGATTCCATACACATTTCAGGAGGGTTTTTTCTGCAAAGAATGTCATTGGCATTTTGGGAGGAACTGCATTAAGTCTGTAGATTGTTTTGGATGGACATTTTAACAATAATGATTCTTCCAATCCATGAATATGGGAATTCTTTCTTTTTCTTCTTTTGTGCCTTCTTCAGTTTTTTCATCTGTTTTATAATTTTCATTATAGAAAACATTTAGTTCCTTTGTTAAATTTGTTTTTTGGGGGGTTGGTTTTTTTTGATATCGGGTATCGAAGTCAGGAACTTGCACTTGTGAGGCAGACAGCGGAACCAATGAGCTAAATTCCTGCCACCCACTCTTTGTTAAATTTGTTTCTATGTATTTTATACTTTTCTTTTTTTCTTTTTTCTTTTTTTTTTTTTTTTTTTTTTTTTTTTTGGTACTGAGGATCAAACTCGGGACCTTGAGCTTGCGAGGCAGGTGGCAGGACAACTGAGCTAAATCCCTGGCCCTATAATCTACTTATACAAACTATTGTGAATAGGAGTGCTTTGGTGTATGAATTTAATGACCTAAAACTCAAAACTATCACCTAGCAAGCAAGAAGAGAAAAAAAAAAATACTCGGAAGAAGCAACTAAATAAAGGGAGAGTTACTGGCAATACATTTATTTTAATTTACTGAATGTTATTTTACCCTCAAACACTTATTTAAAGGTAAATTAGTTTACCACGTTATTATCCACAGGATGAACAGTCATCATTCCCACTGTCTTTCCAGTAACAACTATAGCTATTAAGGGGTCTTTTGCTCTTATTTAAAATAATTTAATTAATACTTGTGAAAGGATAAAGAAAGGTTTCAAAAGCTTCACATATCTGTAAGAGATAATGCCTTTTGTCATATAAAAGAAGAGTATAATAGGCTGGGAATTTAGCTCAGTGGTGCCGCCTGCCTCGCAAGCACAAGGTCCCAAGTTCAATCCCTGGTACCGAAAAAAAGAAAAAGAGTGTAATAGTTTTTAGAAACCATGAACAAGGTAAAAAGTAGGTACAGATTGTATCAATTTTATGTGATGCTGGTACCAAGAAAAATGTTAACATCACTGGCCAAAACCTTGTCTCACTTCCTCTTATAATAAGAGGAAAAAGAATAAGCTGCAGGTACATCCTCGTAGTATGAGTCACAGCATGGCTTAGTGTACACCTGATTCTCCAAACTGTTATCCTTCTCGTGGGGTCATGATTTCCTTTCTCTCCTCCCCCAACAATCTATATGAAAGGAATCCATTGCAGAGCCCCTGAAATACCTTAAATTTTGGTCATTTATTTGCCATCTGAATATGTGACTTATAAAGAATAATGATTCCCTGATTTACTGACATGGAAAATGCCCTCCTTCCGTATGGACACAGAAACAACCAGGATTCAGGGCCTTCCTTCCCCTTGAATATGCGAGATGCCCAGTATGCTGGGTAGGTGCTTGGCACAACACAGTGAAGGGGCAAGGCCAGGGTAGTGGGCAGAGTCTCTGTATCTCCATGTTGCAAAGCATTTATTCCAGTTCAGCCATTCTGTTTCTGTGTGAACAAAGTGAACAAAGCTACCCTCTTTCCTTCAGCACGTGAACAGTGGCCTCACCCTCAGTGACCTGCCCCTGCATATGCTGAACAACATCCTGTACCGCTTCTCAGATGGGTGGGACATAGTCACTCTGGGCCAGGTGACACCCACCTTATATGTGCTCAGTGAGGACAGGCAGCTGTGGAAGAAGCTGTGTCAGTACCACTTTGCCGAGCAGCAGGTAAGTGTGTTAGGCCAGTTGGGTCCACTGTGCGATCAGAAGGCATGGAGATTGCTATGGTCTCTCTTCTATCAGTAATGAGGTTTATTTTTCATATTCAAAGAGAATATGATTCGGAAAATACCGCAGAACCAAACAGTGCAGCTTGAGCCATGTTCTCTGTCCCACCTGTTGGTGACAAGGTCCCCAGATTCCCCTGCATCTGCCTGTCACCAGGTTTTATGTCCTGTAGAAGTTCTGCAGCTCCAGGAGCCTTGATTCCATTCCCTCCCTCTTGAATCCTTGGGAGTTTATGGACCTGCTGAAGTGCAGCCAGTGGACTCCGCTGTTCTTCGTCTACAGGGAAGCCCTACTCTGGCTCTGCTGACCCTTGCCCAGCACACATGCAGAGTGCCAGATATGGGTCTGTGTGAGGTGGAGCAAGGGCCATGGGGACACAGGATGAAACTGTGCACTCTCATAGGGCAGGACAGCTCTCAGCAAAGCAGGCCTGAGCTAGAGAGGCACTGGGCAGTGGCTGAGCCTCTGGGGATCCTTGTCCCGTGCTCTCAGTAAAGCCAGAATGGCATGTAGAACGTACCACAGCTTTCAAAGACCTCTGTTCTTGCGTAAACAGATTGGCATGGTGCAGTGGACCCTTTACAGGATGTCTTAGAAAGAGAGAGTGGTGGGCAGGGAAGACCTCAGTGGGTTAGGGCAGAGGATGCAGAAGGGACCTGGCAGAATCCTAGGAAGACACCTGGTAGGAACCAGAGCAGGTGCAGGAGTGACCGCAGAGGACAGGGCTCAGGAACGTCTAGGAGGGCCTGCTGGGGAAAAGAAACTGTCTTCATGTCTGAACAGGAAGGTTGAATTCTAAGTCAGCATTGGAAATGAGGGAGCAGCTAGTTGAGGGAGGTACGCCTGGGGTGGGCCTATGTGTCATACAGTCACTCTGAGACCTCCCGCCCCTGAACACAGACGCTTGCAGGGAGAGGAGCGAGAGCACCAGCTGTGCCAGACTAGCATTTAGACCTCCAGGCCTCAAACTATGGTGAAGTCCTTGTAATTCCTTGAAGGACATTTTAATGGAGTTGTCTGTTCTACACTAGTACTTCAGGTCCCATAAAAAGTCAGGTTATTTTGCAGTTAACACCTAAGGCTCATCTTGTTTGTACTATACTTTTTCTTGACTAACTATGAAAATACAGCATCCAAAAGATAAATATCTATTCTTCAGAGGCTGCTGAGTAACAGTAGATCCCTGAAAAAAGACAAGCATGTTAGAAGCTCACTCCTTGAAAATAACAAAGTTGGGAAGCATTCTTGTGAAAACCAAATGGTGGGAAGAAGGAGCTCAGCACCATCATCCTGAGTGGTGCTGGAAGGGCCCACTGACCAGGCAGGCTCAACTCAAGCACCTAGGTAGGTGTAGGGCTTGAGTGCAGAAAGCTTACCAGGTGGCTTTCTAAGAGGAGGGCATCAGGAGGGTGGACACAGAATCAGCACAAAGGGAATGAGAATGCAGAGCTGCTTTTGTCAGCAGTGCCTGGAAGACATAGAGATTGAGAGAGCCCGACATGTAATGCTTCCCTTTACTTTTCAGGCTCTTCCTCAGATTTTATTAGGAACAGGATTTCCTCATGGACTCCATTCTACTGTCCAAGTCTTCGAAAGCCATGACTCCCTTTCCTACCAGGTTGAGGGTGTTCTACAAGTGATGGTTCTCGATTTTGTAAAGCAAAACGTGCTCATGGCAGCAGTAGTTTTAGATGAACCACAAACGGCTGAGTGATGATGGCCTAGCAGCCGTCACACCGCTGATGTAGGCCTTCACGATACTTGACAGCGGTCACTGTAGCTGCTTTCAGGATGTTGCCATCACCCTGAGAAGGAACCTCCTTCTGTGGCTGTGGCCCCACCTCCCCCAGCTGAGGGCCACCCACATCTGCTTTCTCTCTGGAGATGTCCATTTGGTGTTTTGGCTTAAGTGGAATATACACTATTTGTCCTCTCACAACTGGCTCCTTTCCCTTATCAGTGTCCTCTAGGCTCCACATGATGTTATGAACTGGATCTTCATCCCTTTCGAGGCTATAATATCCTGGTCTGGACACACCACATCTTGTGTACCCTTTCTTCGGCTGGTGGGCATCTGGCTTGCCTCCACTTGTGGCTTTCAGGAATACTACTACCGTGTGTATTTCTCTGCAAGCCCGTGTGGGACGTGTTCCCAGGAGTGGAGTTGCTGGTCAGACCATGGCCCATTTACCTTTGGGGAACTGCCAGACTACTTTCCACCCTGCGGCTCTGCTCAAACTGCCCAGCCCCCAAACCCCCAGCACTGTGTCTGACTTTCTGTTCACAGCTGTCCTCATGGGTAAAGTGGTGTTGTGTTCCCCTTCCTTAATAGTGGGGGGTGGGGACCTCTGCCCAAGACCACTGGCCACATCCGTGTCTTCCTGGGGACATCTTTTCAATCCCATAGCCCATTTCATAGTGGGTTGTGTTATTTGTAAGTCTCTTACCATATACGTGACCAAGCTGCCTACTTTAACTCTATATGTCATGGCATCATTCCTGAGCCAAGTCTTCAGATCTGTCTCACAGCTATTTGGTATCATACAAGTACACTGTGATTTATTTAACTTGTCCTTTATTGACTTAATCCAAATAAGCTTCATTTAGAATAGTTTAATGTTTTATGTACTATACTGCCTTTTAAAAACAGTTTTGCACCTAATGTTATATTTTGAAAATCAGGTTCTGAACAGAACTTTGTTTCTTTAGTTTTGTAGACATTTGATCCTTTCAGAAAATGGTCATATTGAATGGAAGCTGATGTACTTTGCACTTCAGAAATATTATCCAACTAAAGAACAGTATGGAGATACCTTACATTTTTGTCGTCACTGCAGCATTCTTTTTTGGAAGGTAATAATTTAAAATGTACTCTTGAAATTTGAAAGTTGGAGTTGGGTGAAAGAAACCATTCACTTGTATTTTAAGTGGAAAGGTAAGAAAACGTAGAAATATTGTGATGAAAAAGCTAATGAGATATATTTCCCCATATTTTGGAGGTGGGAATTGTGTCTATAACGTGTGCACCTTGTGTCTTGAGTCAGCAGTACTGAAAGCAGAAATGCAAGAGGCATTTCTCCCCACAGGGACACCATCTCCCTTTCACGGACATTAGCATGTAGCAGGCACTAATGTCCGTGGGAGCAAGGAGGCCTGACAGCCCATCCGCATCTGGCCTGTTGTGTCCTGTCTTGAAGACAAGCCCACTGTCTAAAGAGGCGAGGATATGCCTCAGTTCCCAAAGCAAGTACTTAGTGCAAGGGGGCCATTGAGATATACAGGCTTCAAAATAAACCTGTGCTGTTCTCATTTAGTTGATCAAAACCTAAGACTAGAAACATCAACTCCAGCAGTTTGCATATCCATAGAGTAAACAGGGAATCCTTCACCCGCTGGCTTTTCGCTGTGTTTTAAATCCCGCTACTCTCATTTTGCCTCTGGTGACAACATGCTTTCCATGGTCAGAAGTGGGCCCTGTGGACTGCTGCTTTGGTACACTGTATTTCTTTAATGGGTCAACATTGTCATTGGAATGCATTTACATGGTTTGCCTGGTGTTTGAATATGTTTAGTGGGAGATTTTACTGGGGAAAACCTTTAAAATGATGGTACCTGGGGTGAGCAACCAGCCCTGACCCCACTACCCAGGCTGTCCTGAGGAGGCACCGCTCCCAGCTGAACCCAGATAGACAAGAAATGGGGCTTCTGAGTTTAGGGAGGTGGGTTTTTTGCTGGTAGACACCATCACCTGCTTTGATTGTTTCCTTTGCTTTACATTTTTCTAAATGAAGTCAGGGCACAAAGTGAGCTCTAGATATTGGAAAAGAGGCAACTGCTTTTAATTTTTTTCATTTTGAACTTTTTATGATAGAATAGCCTTATTATAATTATTATGATCCACAGCTGAGCCGAGAACCTAAAGATGTTGAGTTTTTCTTGTATTTTAATAGGGTTGGTTCTCTTTACTCTATCACATGTAAGCAGCATTATGAACAGTTGCTGATGCCTCCAGCAAAAATAACTGATGAGCTTTGCTATTTCTGAGTTTCTGTTTTATATCTTGGTGTGACTCCCTCTGCCAGAATGAAAAATGGCAGGATACTATCTCTCAAAGGCAGGGACCATCCTGGACCCAGAGTCTTCCTCAGCCTTGGGTGACATCAGGCATGAGGATTATCTTCCTCTGTGCCCTCACCTGCATTGGCACCTGACTTGGCCTGGTCCATCCAGAACCAATACACTGTCTTCTCTGTTCTGTCTCCTGTAGATGACACCTGTCACTTTTACTTTCTCCTGAGTGGACTGTTTTATACTATGAAAATATTAAAGTCATGATGCTTCTGTGGGGGGAAGACACATCCACTGGACAGAAGGCTCTCGGTTTTATATGATTGTATTTTTCCCAAATCAGTGCCTGAGTGTATTCAGGCTCTCCTGTTGGCTAATAGACACACATAGTTTCTTTGTAGTGTGTGTGCTGTTAGGCAATACAAGAACATGTTGCTTGTTTGCTGAAATATGTAAGGTTTTTTTAGTATTATTATTAAACTGAGAGATGAGTTATAGCTCTCCAGAAGAATTAGCCTATAAATTCCCATCTTGCTGCACATAATCATGCTGTGGAAACTCATAATGAATCCTTCCTAGCAGAGAGGCCTAGTCTTCCAGTCTAGACAGGAGTGATGACATGCTCTGCTAGTGTGGTCCAGGAACCCCTCAGCTCAGCTTCTCCCACCAGACATCCTTCCAGAGGACCAGTGATGGTCATATTTCTGCCTCTGAACCACACTTGAAGTGTAAAAAGGGAATGCCTTGCCTGCCTTAGCTGCCCAAGCCATCAGCACCCCCTCCTGCCCAGCACAGACAGCTCTAGATATCTCAGGTATGGCCATGTGTAGGCCCCCACCCACCCCACTCTGGAACAGACGTGTGCCTGCCCAGGAAATGGGTGTTGCTGTTTCTCATTTCTTCAGCATGTGAACTGAGGAACATAAGTCAACTCAGACTTATTAAGAAGGATGGGCAACTAACCCTTAGTGGTCTCAGCCAGGATTGAGAGCCAGCTCCACATGGTGGACATGAGGCCTGACCCATGCCCTTTCCTGCTCCCTGCAGAGGCCCCTCATGTGGCTCTAAGTGGGATTTCTATCTGTTCTGAGTCCACTGTTTTGAAGAGTGAGTGGTGCTTAGGACTTTTCTCCTTGCCTTTAAGACCCACCTCAGTGGCCACCTCCGGGTCACTGGGTGGTGAGAAGGGAGGGCAGAGTTACATGTGAGTGTTTCTACACCTGCCCCTCCCCTTTCCCCCAAATACACGGAACCCCAGCCAGCCCTGTATTCTTGCAAGGCTCAGGAAGCCAGGACGGGAATTCAGCATTTCTGTGTCACCTTCTTTTCTCGTCATATGATTTGCCATAAAGTAAGGGCTGAACACCAGCAAAGTTGTGGCCAGAACCCCAGACCCCACCCAGTTAGTCCCTGGTCTCTGGTGAGCCATCTCCACATAAGCAGAAGTAGGAGAGGAAACCCTTGCCGTTCTCCCTGAGAAGCAGTGTCAGGGACAAGCAGAGCCTTGACCACAGGGCACTGGGGCATTCGCTGAACAACTGCTGCACTGTTTTCAGTGTGAAGTCGATGTGGAAAAACGAGCACTTCCTCCTGTTCTGTCCATGAACATTTCTGAAGATTTTTCAGCACTGTGTCCCCATGATTTGTCCATTTGAGAGACTAGAAGGAAAGGTGGCCACTGAGGTTTTTCTCTTTGTCCCAAAACAGGGTGTCTTGATGGTGCCTTGTCTTATTTTGCATATTTTTTATTGTCCAAATTTAATTACCTGACGTTTTTAGTTACTTTCATAAAGAATATGCATCAAACCTAAATGCTATTTCCTACTCTTTCTAACCTGATTTCTCCTTTCCTCCCTTTGCTGTACTTACTGCTTGCTGGTTCTTTTCTGCACCATCTCAGGACTACCACCTCGCATGGTTATTCAAGGTACTTCAGTGTCCCTGTGCACACAGCTGTATTGCATGCCTTTTTCCCTGCCTGGAGACTCAACCATGACTGTAGACCCGTCTGTCCCGAAAGCTCACTCAAAGGACATACCCAGCTCAGCATAGCCCCCTAGGCCTACATGGCCTCTGGGGACGGTGACAGATTCAGTTTTTTTGTTTTTCTGGTTCTTCAGCTCTGAGTAATGCCAGACCCCTCACCCCTGCTGTGGGCAGTGGTCCTGGTTCTGATCGGCCCTGTGTGGCAGGAGCTCAGGTGAGCAGAGGCCATTGGGGCCAGAGGGACAGCAGTCTCCTCCACCTGAGTAGGAATCCCCAGCTTCACTGAGACAGTGCTGGGGCCACTGTGTTGTAATGATTCTTCTGGCTGGACTCCCTTGACCAAACGCTGTGACTTCTTTCTGGAAATGGCTGGCAGGGATAGTGACCATGTCTCCTGACCTGTGTTCTCCTCCCTGCAGGACTCCGGACACCCTTGTACTGCAGCTGACCCAGACAGCTGCTTCACTCCCGTGTCTCCACAACACTTCATTGATCTTTTCAAGTTTTAAGGACAGTCCTCACCCCTGCTGCACATTGTGCTTTCTGTGTGGTAGCTGGTAATAGATGTTTCCTGGGACCAAAAGCTACAGTGGAGTCTGTGAGGCCCTCACTTCCTGACAGAACGTGAGAAACTGCCCCTCATCTGCCCTGTAGGAGGAAGGCGCTGTTGTACATTTCCATCTCTGAAGGAGTCAGGAAACCCAAGCAAATCATTTCTGTTTCTTTCTTTAAATCTTATCTTCTAAGCACATTAAAATTTGTAATTTTATATATTTGCAAATACAGATAAGAGATTTTGGATTTTCAGCCCTACATTCTGTGTTGGAACTGACGCAGCCAACCAAGAATATGCTTCATAGTTGTCAAATTACAGTTTTCCATCTTATAGTAATGGGGGTACAAAATAGAACAAGTGATCCTTGTAAATACATTGGGCAGAATATTTATTTTTCTCAAAATGTGATTTCACAACTGCAGTGGCTATACCCATATGAGTCCTCCTCGGGAGCAAGGTGCACCTCAGGAAGAACTGGGTGTTTTCACCTTGGTGTTAACTCCCTGGGCTGTGAACTGTGACAACTGTCTGTAGCTGACAACTGTTGGTCTCTGCTGCTGGGCACCCCTACGGCCAAGACCAACTCCCAGATGGAGCCTCTGCTGAGGAGGGGCGGGACAGCCCAGTGAGGCCCGCCCCAGACTTGGGTACAGGCTGCTTCCAGAGGCAAGTAACAAACCACGTCTGTCTGTTGATTCTGCTTAGCATGTCTCGCATCTCACTGAGAAAATTGGTATTGGTTTTGATATCATTTAAGCCTTCAAAAGATTGTCTTAATTTTTAAATAATGCATGTCCACTTTAGAAAGTCTTGAAAATAAAGGTATACCAAAAAATTAAAATCACCCATAATTTCACCATGCAAAGATAACTTGTGCTTGCTAAAAATGAGAAATTGCCCCTCAGCATTTGTACTGTAAATATTTTTCACGGAATACTTCATCTTGGAATGGATTAGGTTGCCTAACATATTGTTTTAAAACCTTCTAAACATATTAGAATTTTTAAGTTTGCCAGTTTGTAAATGTAAATCAAAAAAGACCCTGGATTTTCATCCCCAGCTTTCGTACTAACAGACACCAGTGCCTAAGAATTACAACTTCCCTCGTGTGCAGCACAGACGCCCAGGCTTCTGTGTGAATCCTGGAGTAAGTTCCTCAGAAACCATAAACATCCTGTCTGCTGATTTACAACCAGGATTGTCTTCCTGCAGCTTACATGTGACTTGGAAACAGTTTTCATAGGCTGCAGCTCACAGGATGGTGGATCCACATCTGACGTGTTGTGAATATTGGTGACTGAGAGGCACCATTGCACACCCGTTCTGTGGCACCACAGTGATAGCTCACATCTATTATGGCTTCCAGTGTGCATTTCTAGATTGTCAGCCTTTCTGAAAGGAAGAATATTGTGTGTCCATTTTCTGCAGCGTGAATACACGTTTCATGGTATTCTTCATCTTTGAGTGGGTTGGATTTCCTAAAACTTTTCTTCTAAACATATTCAAATTTGTAAGTCTGCCTGTTTGTAAATGTGGATCAAAAAATATTCTGGATTTCATCCCCTCCTTTATACTGAACATGTATACAGCATGTTGGTGCTTTTTCAATAACTGAAGGCTTATTTTTCTTAGGAGGTGGGGCATTTCCTCTGCACACGTATATATTGCAAGGTAGGACGTTTCATATGTGTATTTGTTGGCTACTTGTGTTTTCTGTGTGCTCTTTGCCCGTCTTCTGGTATGTTGTCTCCTTCATATTCATTGCTTCTTAAAAGGATATTAACCTCTTCAAGTTACAGTTCTTTTCACCATTGGGTCATGACCTCGTAACTGTTATGATGCTATTTGTGCTGTGGAATCACACATATCCACATTTAAATTGTATAAATTGAACAATTCCTCTCATAAAAATAACCACACTAAACCCCTTAGCCATTAGGGAAAACACTTTTAGCTGTTAGGGAAACATAAATCAAAACTACATTAAGATTCCATCTCATGGCTGTCATCAAGAATACAATCAAGAACAATAAATGCTGGCAAGGATGCAGAGAGAAAGGCACACTTCTGTGCGGCTGGTGGGAATATAAATTAGTACAGCTACTATGGAAATCAGTAGGGAGGCACTTCAGAAAACTAAAAATAGAGCTGCCAAGTGACCCAGCTATACCCTCGTTGGAATATAACTGAAGGAATTAAAATCAGCATGCTATGAGGATACCTGCATATCCATATTTAGTGCAGCACAACTCACAACAGCAAAGACATGTGCCTGCCTAGGTGCCCATTAATGGATGAATGCGTCAAGGAAATATGGTGTGTGTATATATATATATATACACACACACACACACACACACACACACACAATGGAATACTGTTCATCTGTGAAGAATGAAACTGTCTTTTGCAGGAAAATGAAAGGGGAGATTGTCCTGTTAAAATAAGCCAGACTCGGACAAGTACTACATTTTTCTTAATATGTGGAATCAAAAAAGCCATACTGAGTGTGTAGGGAGGACCCAGCCACTCCTCTCTGTGCGCACAGGGTTGGGGGAGTGACCCCTACCTGCAGTGTGCACTGGTACAGCCCCACAGGAGAGCAGAGGACACAGCAGGCACCACTCGCCCATGTCACTGGCAGGAGGCTGAAGAGTCAGAGGGCAGAGACAAGGAAGGCAGAGATAAGGAAGGCAGTGCTGAGGTGATGGTTGCCTACAGATGCATTTGAAGGGTACTTGAGAACACAGGTTCTGTTAGAGGGCCTCAAAAAGGAGGTTCCACCCCCACTGGATAGACTCACCCATGACTTGTATGTGCAGTGAAGTGAGCATTCAGGACCCCAAGAGCCCATGGCCAGAAGGGTCTACTTACAGCTGATGTCTGTGTCGACACCCAGTTGCAACTTCCCTTTGCCAATTTTAAGATTCAGAAAGATTCATTTCACACCTAATTATGAATACATGTGAGACAGAAAGGGCCAAGTGTCTGGCTCTCTACAGCAGGCAGGGTGAGCCTAACAGCATGCTGTCTGCCTTCTGTGTGTACTCAAGACTGTTCAGGTCTTACACATAAACTGGTCTGCTTCACAACCATGTTTAACAGCCTGACTGCATAATTTTTGCCTAAAATGCTTTTAGAATCAAACTTACATAAGCTTAAGGTATTTTAATCTTGTATCCTGTAATCTTGCTAAATATTTCTGTACAATCCTTAGGATTTGCTATACACAAAATCATGTCATCTGCAAACAGACATGATTTTATTTACTGCTGTCCAACTGGATACCTTGTTTTTCTCTTTGATTTGTGGTTGTTTTTGGTCTTTTGAGACCAGGTCTCCCTATGTAGTTTGGACTGGCCTTGAACTTGGTATATAGCCCAGGCTAGCTTCAAACTCCAGGAAATCCTCCTGCCTCAGCCTCCCAAGTGCTGGAATTATAGATGTGTGCCACCGCACCTGGCTCTTTCTCTTGCCTAACTGCTGACTAGATTCTTCGACACCATGCTGAGTAGACATAGCAAGAACTGTCTCCTTGTCTTCCTGATCTTAAAAAGTTCTCAGGTATGATATCTCAAGTATGATATCAGTGTGGGTTTTCATAAATATGAAAAAAAAATGGAAAAGTCTTTGTAAATAGGGAAGGATAAAGGGGGTGAAGGGATGGCAGGGGTATGGGTAAAAAATAAGAATCAAGGCATCATGTAAAGGTACAAGATCCCAATGATAAATGTAACTATTGTTTTCTTGAAATGTACCAATAAACTTAACAGGAAAAAAAAGTACTGTACATCGAGCTCAGGAAGTTTCCTCCAGTTCCTAGTTTGTTTTAATCATGAAGGCTGATGGATTTTTGGCAAATGCTTTTTCTGCCTTTGCTGAGAAGGCTTTTGGCCTTTCAGGTGTGGTACTACTGTGTTGATCTATTGTTGTTGTGCTGCACCAGCCACGTGTTCGTGGACTTGAGTCCTACTTGCCATGTTGGTCTATTATATCATTCTCTTGTGATATCTTTGGTTTTGATGTCTGGGCAAAAACAGCCTTACAGAATAAACTGGGAAGGTGTTCCCTCCTGCTTACTTGTTTCAGTACTGGGATTGACCCAGTACTTTTATACTGAGTCACTTACCTAGCCCTTTTTATTTTTTATTTTGAGATAGTCTTGTTAACTTGCTAAATTGCCCAGGCTGAGCTTGAACTTGGGATCCTCCTGCCTCAGCCTCAAATTACAGACGTGTGCTACCACACCTGGCTTTTTTTTTCTTCTTCTTTTTCTTGATGGCAGGAGTTTTTGAAGTCTTCTTGTTCATTCTTCTTTAACATTTGTAGAAATCACCAAGCATTGACACCTCACTTCCTGTGTGTTTATTTGCTTTTCCCCTCGTGGGAAGTTCCTCCATATGATTGCCTTTAATAGGATGAGGCTGTTTTTCCTAGAGATACCTGGATTAAACTTTATCCTTTTTTTTGTAAAGGCCTAACAGCAGGTAAGTGGGTGGTGAACTCAGTTACCTCCAAGAAGGGTGTGACCTGAGCAGATCACACAGGTTGTTGTCACCACGGGTGACACATGCCTGACTCCACTTGCTGCCCCCAGACTTCCTACCCAATCTGGTATCCACATGAAGGCCACGAGGTTTGCATGGGTGTGAAGAAAGTGTGAGGAGGCTCAGCCTAACACCAGATTGGCCAGCACTGCATCCCTGTGTTCACAGGGCCTTCAGCGGACCTCTGTGCCTACTGCTGAGGGAGACACTAGTGTCGCCTTACACAGTGTGGGGGTCACAGGGACTTCCTGACCTCTTTGCTCACTTCTGAGGAGGACGCTGGGGTCCCCTCATATAGGGCTTTCCTACCCTTCAGACCTGTCTCTGTCTCCTTTGCACCTTGTAAGCTCCAGTGCTCAGTACGTGTCTACTTGTTATATCTTCTTGGTGTTTTGAGTGTTTTTAATTTAAGCAACATAACAAAATTACAGTTGTCTGGGATTTACTTCAGCATAATTCAAACAAGACAGATGAGGAGCTGACGAGTTGAAAGTATAGGTATGTACTGGGATCCACACACTTGTTCTGCAGAAGGGTAGACAAGTGTTTGCAATTCAGTCTCCTCATGGAAACGCACAGTGCAGCCACAGGCCATCTCCACCTGTGGACATGAGCCACTCAGCTGCATTCCCAGCTAACTGGATGCTGAAATCTGAACTTCACGTTCTTTTGTAGTCCCTCACCATTTGAAAAATGTAAAACTGTCCTGAGCTTTGCAAAAACAGGTCACAGGCCAAGCCTGGCCCGGAGGTTGCAGTCTACCAGCTCTGCCTTGTCCTCATCTCTTTGGAACGTGTTTGACATTTTCCATTTAAAATCTTGCATGATTTTAATAGGACTTTTGTACTTGTTAGTATGCTCTTTGTAAAAAGTTTTTTTTAAGGCCAAAACCAAAAAATGTAAGAATATTACTCATAATTCCACATCAGGATAATTACTCATAATTTATAACAGCTTTCAAGTGTTTTATATTGCTTTTAAAGATTCATAACATATTCCCAAGTAACAGTATGCAGTAGGATATACCCTCCTCCTCCTCCTGCACCGACCCAGAGCTTTGGAGGGCACTGTGTGGGTCTCCCAAGGGGAGCACCTGTGGGACCACACATGTTCGTGTGCATCTGCAGGGGGCCTTTGAAGATTGTTTACTGAACAAAACTTGTTACCTAACTTCTAGCACCTGTTCTATAAGTTTCCAGGGATTCATTAAAAATCCTTAATCTCTAAAAGTGAAAGAAAAGAGTCATTTCTCAAAAAGATGAAAATAAACCAAATAGTATTTCATATCACATCCACCTCATCAGATTGTTTTCTTGAAAATACCACTAAATGATCTAAACTTTGTTTTCTTGAAAATACCACTAAATGATCTAAACTTTGTAATCTCTTAAATCATAAAAGTATTTCCCTAGAAGTCCCAGCATTAATTTTGTCTTACTATGAAGGTTGTTCAATAGAAGTAATTACATAGGCACCAGTATCATCACTCGTTTTGAAAGCAAAAATTCTACCCAACCTTTATCACTAAGTGAATATCTTATCTGCACCTCTGAAAATTCATGCGGAGACACTAATTTCTGAAAATACCCATCCCTCCAAATAGCCTCACAGAAAGGACAGTCGTGTGGGGAGAGCCATCCCTCACCCCATGGGGTTTCAGCGACAGCAGCAGGCCACAGTGACCCCAGGCACAGACAGTGTAGCTCACAACTCGGGTGCAGTGGGCAGCAGAAAGGGCCAAGACAAAGTCAGATTCCTAGCGTCACCCCAGAAACCCACAGTCAGAAGGCTCCGTCTACCCCGGCATACCAGCCCCTCACCCTGCTTTCCCACTGAATGTATCTCAGATGTCCAGAGCCCCTGTGCTATACTGACCCCAGCCCCTGCCTACGTGCCACGGTGGCCATCTCCCCTCCCTTCCCCTTTCAGGGCCTCTTACCTCCACCTAAGAACAAATGCTGTGGAAAGCGGCCAGGGGCTCACTGCCCACAACATATCGTTCTCATCAGTAAACTCAAAGCACATGAGGAGACGCTAGCTTTTTTAAATTTTTTTTTAAGTAAAGCCAGTCCAGCTTGGCTTGGAACTCGGTCAGGCTGCATAGCCATGCTCATTGCTACCCTGTGCAGCTCTCGAGAGCTGCTCTCACCTACTTTTCCTTGCCCAGGAATCAGAAAGGAATGTGCTCATCAGGTCCCTACAAGCAGTGGCGGTGAACTATGGCACGTGTCCCACAGACAGCTATTTGTTATCATTGTAAGTTCTGAAAGGTTCACCATCACTGGCCTAGAGCATGGAATGGACCCTCAATGCATCAGCTCTCCAGGTACTCGGTTCTCAAAGTGGTAATGATGTTTCTCATTCTTGCTGGGGTTCATCACAAAACTCTTAAAGGCTGGAGGGCAATGAATGATCTCACTGGAACAACCCAGTGGTTGTGCAGCCGGCATCAGCCCAGGGAGATAGAAGAGCATCAGGCTTGGCTGGAGCAGTGAGCTGACCACAAGTCGCACAGAAGACCCCCACACCATGCAGCCTGTGTGCAACAGGGTACCCAGACCCAAGCACTGCTCAGGCTAAGATTTAACTCCAATTTAACCCCGTTGTTTTTTCCTAACTTTTTTTTTTTTTTTTTTTTTGTTTT